TGGAAAAGCTGCTATTGATTGCAGGGGAGACTACGTCTCGCCAGGGAGGTGTCTCTGCCTGATAGAGTGGTTTGAACAATATGGGCAGCGTTGATTGAATTCTCCAGAACAAAGCCTTGAAGTCACGTTTCACTTGAAAATTTAAAATGGGTGCCATACTTGAAGCATTTCTCCTAAATTTTTGCGTAAAAAACTAGAGGCAACACAACACAAGGAAACACTGCCCTTCTTAAGATGTTTTTAGCATCCAATGTCAGTCCAGTGTGGAACTGAAACCAAGACATTGCTCATGGTGTAACTGAAATCAGCAGAGGTGAATCTTTTCCTTGATATTATACCAGTTAAATCCATTTAAAAAAAAATAAAGAAAATAAAAAAACCCTTTATATTAATACTGATTTCCTAGGTAGCTCAATGCCATCCCATTCCTTTAAGTGAAAGGATACTCTTTCAAGGTTAGCCAGACCAGTGTACTGGTATGCAAGAGATAGTGATGCAGAAGCTGTCCATTTTTCTAATATACACATTAAAATTTGGCTGCTAGGATAGCTGCTAATGGAAATATTCTTGGCCTTAGCTGCTGTTTAATAGATTAATGTGATGCTCATACAAAAGGTAAATGGATAGAAATACTCAGATTCACTGGAAAATGCAACTTCTACCAAAATGTAAGGACAAATACAGGATATGCTTTGCAATATGTATAACATTCAGATTTAATAAGGAAATGTCAATTTAATGGTCATTTGTATCCTAGCCCTTACTCAATGCTATGCTGAGTGCAGGATATAGTGTCTGTCTCCAAGATGTCATAAGGCAAGTACTGTAATCCTTGCTTTCCAGAGTAAGATTTGCAGGTTCATTTCTTGAGTTAACAGCAGGTTTCACATTATTACTTCTAAGTCTGTTAATTGTTATTTTACATTTACCAGCATTTCCCAAACTCTACTGCTAGAAAAAGAAGTTAGAAAAAATTAAACATAAGATTAGGGTATATTTATTTTACTTGTCACTGAATTTGGATTAAATATTTCAGCTTCTGTAGTAGAATGAAACGCCTTAAGTGTTTCAGCACAGTTAGTCTCAAAGAAAGAAATCCATTGTGCATAAAGGTATGATATTTGCAGATACAATGCAGAATTAATATACACCCCAAAAACGTACAAAGAAAAAGCAGAGAAGCAGAGCACTCGACCCCATAGCAGTGTGGTGCATAAGTGCACTCACCGTGAACTCCTGTATCTGAATTAGAAAAATTTAATTAGCTAGTAGACTGGTGATCTCTTTCACACCCTTCCTTTCTTTTGTAAACCAAGAAGGAAAATGAAATGAGCCCATTCTGTGACTGAGAACTTCCCAGTGAGAAGTTGGGAGCAGCCTTAAGAGCACAGTTTTTTTCTCAGGCCTTTTTTGGCAGGGCAGATGTGCTTGTTTCAACCTGAAACTGTTCTTGCTGGAATTTTTAGCACACCGAGTGCCAGCAAACTTACCTTATTTTCAGGAGGCCCAGAGCTACAGCAGGTCTCTGCTCTTACTTCTGCTTAATTTGAGCTAAACGCTGCATGCTAGACAAATATTTTCTTGCTGTGATGGATAAAGGGACACGTGAAACTTTATCAGTAGTGTCTACCTCTACAAAATCACAGTCTTCTGTAATCTCTTAGAGGTGTGAGGCAAATCTGTATTTCATATCAGAGAAATAGCTTTCCAATGGCAAATCAATGAATAATTCTTATTCAGTTATAAAAATATACATGTTGGTTGGTGAGGACAGCAAAAATGAAATATTGTTTAGCTTTTTCATGTATTTGTTTACATTGAAGATCTGTATTTTGATTTCTAAAACAATGCTGAAGTTGCCTAGTTTCTATAAAAGCCAGTCTTCATCCTTTATTTTCTCCTGTGTGGCACAACTAAAAGCACCACACCAATTACCGGATGTAGAAGAGCTTCTCCCACTTGAAGGCAAAGCCTTACCACTTCCATAGCACTAAACGTCTCTGCCAGAACTGTGGATAAACACTCTTCTCACAGATATGAGTGACATCCATGCACATCATAGAATCATAGAATGGCCTAGGCTGGAAGGGACCTTAGAGATCATCTGGCCCAACCTCCCTGTCATGGGCAGGGACGCCTCTCAACTAGATCAGGCTACTCAAGGCTCCATCCAACTTGGCCTTGAACACCTCCAGGGAGGGGGCAGCCACGACATCTCTGGGCAATTTATTCCAAAGTCTTCCTGCCCTCGTACTGAAGAATTTCTTCCTAAGGTCCAATCTAAATCTATTCTCCTTCGACTTAAACCCATTTCCCCTTGTTCTATCAGTGGACACTCTTGTAAAAAGTCCCTCCCCAGCCCTCCTGTAGGTTCCCTTCAGCTATTGGAAGGCACCTATTAGGTCCCCCCGAAGTCTTCTCTTTTCCAGACTGAACAATCCCAGCTCCCGCAGCCTGTCTTCATAGCAGAGGTGCTCCAGCCCCTGGATCGTCCTTGTGGCTCTGCTCTGAACATGCTCCAACAGATCCACGTCCCTCTTATGGTGGTATCTTGAAATGCTAGAAAACTGATGTTTTGAATTTGTGCCTCAGCAAGCCGTCTCAGTGGGATTGTGAATCACTTGGATGGTTGTTGCTCTGTGCTTCGCACGGCCATGACTTGAGTCCAGCAGAAGAAATGCTTTATGCTGTGTCTGTCACTTACCTCTCTAGTCTGGAAATAAATAAAACATGGTTTTTTCTTATATGATTCCTTGAAAAATATTTTGTCTTCTGAGACCAAGCTTAAAACCTTTCTAATATGAAAGGATAAATGACCAGGTAACCAGCTGACACCTGTGGCTAACGCTGTTACGTAAAACAGATTTGAGAAGTAGTTTAAAAAAATTTTTAAAAAAAAGAGTCCTATCATGAGGACAAATCATTTAACAGATTAGAAAGCGAGAGCAGTATAAGTGCCTGTGAGATATACCAGTGCTTACAGCCAAGCCCCACAAATTCTCTTGATGATACCACTGACTGTGCAAAGCGAAGGGGACAGCTGCCTGTTCTGTGGTGTCACCCCTTAACCAGCAGGATCCCTCTCTTTTGGCTGATTCAATGTGGTCACGTTGTAATCCTGTGTGGCAGGGAGAGGTATTTACAACCTCCCAACCTCTAAATGAAGTACCAAAGACGGGAGGATGGTCTCTGAGGATTACTTACACAGTTTGCAGCCAGAGATAGGCTCCTCTGGAAGAAAATGCAGTATACCCAAGTTGAGTTTTGCCAAGTAAAAATGTGAATACACCCTGACTGACAGTGCAACAACAAAGGAAGGATTGTGGTCCCTAGAGCCCCTGCAATTTGGCTTATTTCTACAGTGGCTGTGATTGAAAGTGCATTTAGGCTCCGGGATAAAAGACAAAGTCCAATTAAAAATCATCATTGTTGTTTGTCTTAATTTACCTGCGGTAAATCATCTCTCAACTGTCTGTGTTCCAGTTTGTCTCTATGATGCTCAAACGGGAGCTCGGTAGAGGGGGTGATCAAGTTCAGTAGTAGGAATGAGATCACACAACTCTGGGGAAGTTTGACTTGAAAATGTTTGGAAATCTTCAGTGAGTTACAAGTGGTTTTCTTAAACCCCTTTAAGACTAATCCTACACATCCTACATGTTGTCCAAGTACCAGCTGGTAAAAAAACCTCCAGTTGCAGACAAAAGTCAAATTTTCACACGGTTTTTAGTGGGAACACACTGGGACATTTGCAAGTGGTGAAGAAAGTGGATGGGTCAAGTACAGTCAGAATAGCTCCATTCAGACAGCAGGATAATACCGTCAGCATTTAAAATTTGCATAGAAGTTGGGAAGAGAAGTGTGTGGGATCACTCTGTTGCTGTCACTGCTGAAGTGAGAGGGGCAGGCTTTCCGCTGAGCCTGAAACTGTGGGAGCGTAAAGAGGAACCCGTGGGGGGACAGCCTTGAAAACACATACTGGGCAGCCAATAATTATGAATTGTCTTAATGCAAAGTTTTCATTCATTACCTCAAGTACAAGGAAGCAAATGTCCTGAGCCATCCCAAATGCTACTATATGCTGCAGCCTCAGGAGAGGGGCATGCACTACTTCAGCACAGATTGCCTGCTCGCACTGTGCAACAGGTTTCCTCTCGGTAGTTGGAAAGCTCTGCTGCTCTCAGCAGAGAAGTGCTTTATTTCCTGGGCTGACGAAGCATCGTCTTAAGAAACAGGCATAGGATGAGGCAAGAGGGTTGTGTCCTGCTTCGAAGCAGTTCCCTCCTGTGTGAATTTAGAGGAATTCCTCTGACTCATGCCAGTGAGGGCAAAAGGGCCAGAACCTGTAACACGGTATCATGAGGAAGCTGAAGAAACCCACTGGAGAACAAGTGCCTGAGCTGGGTCTTGGTTATGTGTGTGCAAATAAACTATGGCTCCAGCAAAGGCAATAGCTGCAAATTACTGCGTAAATTAAAACAGTATCAGGTCTAAAACAGCCAGCCCCCTGCTTTTGTTTTAGATAAAATTATAGGTATCTTTTCTATAGAGCCAACACTTCATAGGGAGACACATGGGCATATTTTTGGCTCACTGTACCCGAGGAGGCAGTGTCCTTCAGCCACACTTTTAAAATGTACAGGCTATGGTCTGCCACATATGCTTCTCATTATTTGGTATGAATAATCAAGGAATTTGATCTGGTTATGTGATATTAGCACTGCTGTTTTTAAGGGACAATGACACAGAGAACATTCAGATACTACAATAATCAGTAAATTAAAATGCAAGAGAGAGAGCTGTTTTAGAACTGATCATTCCTCAGTTTATATTTAAATTGCTCAAATACTCTGCTTTGGTAATGGATATGTACTTTGGTGCTTGAGCACAGTCAGAACTCTTCTAAAATTTGATCCATAGTGTTTGACCATAACAGAAGGAGATCCTTTCATGGCCATAAATACTAATAAATACTAATTAACTATGTTTTAATCTTTCGGCAGAGATAAGGATTGCTTAAAAATATGGGAATCATTAAAACACGCCTTCATTTACAAGAATCCCTGTAATATTACAGCAGAAGATTATCAGCCTTTAATGGAGTTAGCAAGTCATCCTATACCCTGTAACAAGGTAACATTATAATGCATGGTGGGCGGCTTAAATAGGATTGTTGGGGGGTGTCTGCGCCGTGCTCGGTGTGATGGGATCTTGTCTGTAACGATTATGAGGGTCTGTAGGTTGACGAGGATGATATTTTGCTCTTGCACTTACTGCCAGTAGTCCTGCACTTACCAGCTTTGGACCCCAGCAACCCCGCTCTAGTTCTGTGGCTGGAAATCATTCCTGCCTAAGGCTTGCCTCAAATCTCAGTGCTGGGGTCATCCTGGTGAAGTGATGGAGATGTCCCTGTTCCCTGAGCTTGTGGCTCTCTGTAAGGAGCATGGTAGAGCTTCCAAAAAGCTGTTCTTCCACGTGCAGTTGCAAAGCACACAATGGATTAGGTATCTATCCTATAAGAACTAGTCTTTCAAAATTCTTTACAGGCTGGACATGTTCATTTCCACAAAAAATGACATCCAAAAAGATTTTGGACATGGGATCATGGGGTGCAGAAATAAGAACTGACCCATGAGGTGAATTTGCAGCATTTCAATAAAAACTAAAACTCCTTCACTCGCATGAAAATTTTTTAGTTTTCTCCAGGAAAATTTCCTGACCAGCTCTAGTATAAGTATCACTTATTAGACATTGTACCTTGTTTCACAGTCACTGTTTTGGAGCAAGACAAATGACCTCGCTCATCGTTATACAAAATCCAATCAAAATTTCCTTACCTTGGAGGACACCTTGTTGGGTTATATGGCTGATAGGGTTTCGTGGTGTGGAGACCCCTCTGCCCCAGGTAATAAGTCCTGTTTTTTTCCAAAACAAATATGAGCGCTGATTTCCAGATCATTCTTTCACCTTGTATATCTATTCCTAAACACAATCCTTTTCACATATTCTTTCCTTGTAATTTAGTTTAAAACCTTAACTGTGTTTTCTGTCCCACCTTATGGAAGACAATATAATACTTATTTCTCAGGTTAATTAAAAAACCACAGCTTTGGCTGTTATTAAAACACCAAGTTGCCTCTTGGACTAGCCCTCTCTATCTAGATTACTTGCTTCCTTCCTGTGACTTCCGTGGGACAAACTGCAAAACAAGAATGCCATTCAGAAAGATGCTGGCTGTAGGCCAGTCAAAGAGGCGGGAGCAGCATGTAGGTGCCCCGGGGTTATTGCTGCCCACATGACACCTGGGTTGGGACTTAAGGGCTGAAACTACTGAAAATGTTGGGCAGAGTTTAATTTTTCAGTGCAATCAGACAGTATTTGTCAAGAGCCAAGCTGTTTCTCACGCTTAGGAGTACGTGCTTTCTCAGTTTTCTGAGAATTATTTGCATACAGAGTCTGCAGCTGCCTCCCTGAAACATGCGTGAGCAGACAGAAGACCTTCGAATACATGTAAATTCCTCTTCCTCTTAGAGCCCTTTCCTCATGTGGCCTTCTTGCTTTGGTTGGGGGCACATCTTTTTGCCATCATTAATTGCTCTGAGAGCCATATAAACATTACAATATTCATTCTAATGTTAGCTATTCTATAAATGTATTTCTTCTCAGGAATCAACTATGAATCTTGTCCAAAACGAAGTGAATGTGAGAGCAACCCCAGCTCTGTATTCTGGAAAATGGCATCCAAGATGGTAAGACCTAGTATAAATGTCCCCGAATCCAACGATGTTGAAATGCACTAAGTTCCTAACACTACTAGAAATGTGAGTTTGCAGATCAGACTTAAAACATGGAATAATAAAAGTTCAGATGAGCTTTAGCTTCATATGTGCTAAAAATCATGGCATTGGAAATTTGTATTTCCAAAGTCCTGTATTTTATGTACAACATTTAATGTCACTGTAGTTTGAACACTCTGTGGACAGAGACTGTGTGTCGTGTCTAGAACAACACAGAATAAACCACAAAAGCAAATAATGTTTACAGTAATAATAATCACTGCCTTAATTAAATCACAGTACTGAAATAGCTAAAATAAAAGAAAAAACATTTTGGCATATTAATGTTGACACCAGTGCCCAAATTGTCACAGAAATTTTCCAGGCAGCTGAGAATCCCCTTGTATAAACCTGGAGAGCACGTCCTCCTGCAACGGTATCTGGCAAGGTTCATATGATGTACTCACCCATATGCACATGCCAAATCCCATCACATGAATGAGACCCTGCTAGTCCAAGTTAAGCAGTTAGCTTGGCTTTGTTGGACCAGCACTTGACAGAATAAACTGCTCTCCACTAACAGTTTAATTAATATGTTTCTCAAGATGTCACCCTTGATACGACTATTAGTAGATGAGTGCCCAGGTAGAAATAAAGCATTCTTGTATGCTTCAGCTCTCATGTGTGTAAGAAAAAGTCTACTCAGTGTAAAAAGAAAAATAATTAATTTGGGGGGGTAAACTAGTGCGTATACATAAGTTTGCCAAGCTCAGAACAGTTTCTGTGTTCTCATTAAACCCCTCAATTCCAGAGTCTGGGAGGGTTAAACCACTGTACAGAGTCAGGCTTGCTTGTTTGCAGGCTTTCTAATCCAAATAAACTTAAGATCTACTAAAACTCATGCATATTACATTAGAAAGTTACACGGAATGAAATTTTCCTGCAACTTCCCAGCTCTTGAGATCTGAGTTTGAGCCACGTTGTTCAGATGTAAGACGACCTGGAAGATTTGATACATATAGTAACCTGTGTTAGCCTTTTTAAAAAGTCTTTGTCTTACTGGTGGATTATGGATCTAGAGTGGTTACTTTATGTTGTAACTTTAGCAGTCTTTAAATATCTGGATATGAGTTTTGGAGAGTAAAAAAGCAGTGATTACATAATGCAGTAATTAAAAAATCAAAGAAAATAAAACCCAGTGATGAGTTCTACTAAAAACCACTGGGGAGAAAAATACCAAGCCACAAAAGAACACAGAGCATGACTCACAAGGTAATGAGTGCACAATGGTTTGTGTGTCCTTAAACTAGTGGTACCTCTGTTCTGGCTCGTCCTCACCACCTGAGTTAAAGCGGTGCGAGGCTTATTCCAAGTTAGTGCAGCCCCATCAGACAGCTGCAGCTGCTGAGGCTCTCGAAAGCCCTGTAAAAAATGAAAACAGCAGTGACAGCAAATTTGTTGCACTGATCACGTGCAGCCTCAGACTGCCAGTTCATAGCTGGCTAATGCAGCTTTATCACAGTTTTGCCAAAGCCTATAGAAGCTTTTTTTTTTTTTAGCACTGGCAAGTTCTACAAAAATATTGGCCAGTTCCTCTATTCGTATAAGCTAGTTCTGATGAAATTAAAGAAGTTATAGAAATTTGTACTGGCCCCAAGTCTGACATGTAATGTCAGAATATCATGTCCATTTGTTTTGTTCAGTTTGCAGAAGCAGCATGTGGTGTGGTTCAAGTGATGCTCAATGGATCGATAGAAGCTGGAGCTTTCAGAAACAGCAGGTATTTACTCTACCATCCATGTTTCTGTGGAGCCTGCATGCTGGTGAATGTGTCTTGGCCAGTGAGTCCCAGTACAAAATGGATTCTGGTAAACTCATATGGGAGTCTAAACCATCCACTGCATAGAGCTGATTCACTTAACTCCTTCTACCCAGTGACTGTAATTGAAATCTTTCAGAGGGTATGCAGGTGGCGTATCTAGTGCGCTCTTACTGCATAAAGTATCCTTGTTACTGCAGTTTATTTATTTATTATATATGAACGACAAATTTCTAATAGTTCATGGAGCTGACTGGACTTTACCTCTCCAGACTGTGCTTCCTTGAGTTACCTGGCAAGAAGTGTAGTCTTGAATAATATTGGAAGATGAAGAATATGCTGGCTGGGGGAACAACCATGTTCATTTTCCTTGCACCAAACCAAATCAATAGCCAACAAACTGAACAGGAGAAAAGGCACTAAAGATGGAAAAACTTCAGCTTCTTGCAGCCTGTAGGCAGTTTCAAAAGTTCTCCTGCAAGCGAAATAAGACTGGAGAGAAAATATTTTACCATGAAGCAATTAAATAGTCTATGAAAATTCATTGGCCAATTCTTTCACTGGGAATAGTACCAATGCTAATAAGCTGTAGTATCTGGGGAACAGACTGTCTTTCTCAAATAACTAAGACAGTTTTGCTGTTTCATATTGCATTTTTACAGCACCTTCGGAAGTGTTGAGGTCTTTAACCTAAATCCAGATAAAGTCTCTGCAGTACACATTTGGCTTATGCATGACATTGGTGGGCCTCAAAGGTAAGTCATGCTGGTACACAATGGTGTGTGGTGTGCAGAAGGCCGACGGCGCAGCTCAGTTCTGACCAACAGCAACGCTGTCTTAAACCGGCTCTACATTCACTTTCCTCACTGCTTACTTTCCTGTAAAGAATAACATTTGTGATGTTGTTTTATTTAGCATTTTTGTAGCTACTGCTGAACAGTTATAGCTAAGACACAATGATGTTTTTCTTGCTTTGAAGAGGTCCTGTGACCTTTAAATTCCTTCCAACCCCACTGAAGTCTACAGACCTTTATTGTGGGTGCAGGACTGAAGTCACAAAGCAGGCTATGTTTGCAAGGGTGAGCAGCTGGAAAATATGTTTGTCCACAGGAATAGTGTAAATGTGCTGAGCAGAGCCATTTTTGATAAAATAATTTCAAATGCTGGAACAGGTGTCCAAAGAGATTGCGGAGTCTCCACCTGTGCACACACTCAAAACCTGACTGGGTCCTGGGCAACCTACCATAGCTGATACTGATTGGACTAGATGATTTCAATTACCTAAGTGATTCTATGATATTAATAACAAATCTGTAGTTTAAATGCTTTCCATGAAATTCTTGATACCAGCACAGTGACCTCAAATAACACCAGATCTCTCACATTCCAAGCACAGAGCATGAGGCTCAGTACCTTTGAGCCCAATCTGCAGAGCCACTGCTGTGGTTCACGTGGTTATAATGCACTGCCAGGGTTTCTGCTGCTCCTAAGGACCCCTCATGACAGAGGCAGCAGCTTTTGATGCTGTGGGTCAGGAAGCAGGCTGTGATGATGCAGCGCAACTCAGGAATGAGTGTGGACCCAGCAGAGACCCTTGCTCAGGCAGCCTCATTGCGTGACACAGTGCCAGCTCCAGTGTTGCAAACCCTCCCCTAGCCCAGACACCCAGAAGTGTCACCTTGCCACACAAGCTGACATACCTATCACAGCTCACAGCCATGCGTCGATCCTGTGGTCAGCATGTCAGACATACTCTTGTGGCCCATTGTGTAAAGGTTTGCTCAAAAAAACGACGTGGAATAATCAGTACATTACTTCCCCCAGACATGGCACTTCATCATTTCTCCCTTTATTTCCCAGCATAAGAAAAGCCATCATGTTCCTCCTCAACAGCTTCAATAGCCTGGTGCCCTGCCAGCCTTCTTGATGCACCCTCCTCCTTTGCCAAATTCACAGCAGTTTACTTTTTATTTTCAACTTACTTCCAAGGAAGAAGAGGCAGGGTAACTCCAATAATATATATTCCTTTTATCTTCTGATTTGTATTCCGTGTGAATCACTGATAACATCTGGCAAATCTAGTGAACAAAGAAGAGTTGGCTCTGCTTTCCACTAATGCCATATGTTAGGGACTGGATTTTCCCCAGTATTGTATTGTTGCCCTGATATGTGTCCTATACTCTGGAGCAGGAGATGATTTTTATCCTTAAGTAACAACTCTTTTGCAGTGTCTCTGTCCATGTCTATGATATTTATCAATCCTCTCACTACAGCTTTGGGGCCCCTTGGGCTATTCCAAGCAAATTAAACATAAAAATAAAGAACTCAAAGGTACGAAATTGCTACATGCTTCATGAAATCATGAGCCAGTTGGAAAAGACATACACAACTTAAGGCTCCTACCAATGGAAAAGTGGTTGTAAGAGCCCCTTGTTCAAACAGAGCAGCAGCTGCCACAGACTGAGTCAAACAGACAGGAGGTGCACCCAGCCTTGCATTCTCCCATGTTCTCTACTTACTTTCTCCTATCTTCTGGCCTACCTGGGACTTAACCACTGGTTTTTGTGATTGGTCCTTTCTCATCACACAGAGCACTTGATTCCTATGTCCTGTCACAGATTTAAATGAGCCTTATATCGTGCTCCATTTGATGGAAGCCTCCAGCAGCTCTGGAGCAGTTCTAGAGCACATTGAACTGTGAATGAAACTTTGTTGTTCCCACAGACACCTTCCTGCACAAAGTTCTTGTGCAAGACGCACACCTCAACATCACATAGTTTCTACCAACAAAGGCCCAATGGTAGCCAAACAAACCTGATGAACTTTACAGCATGTTAGAAAACAAACTTTTAAAGAATCTTACCTGAAATAAAGCAGCGTGACATGGTGTGGAATTTAGCTGAGCTTCTTCTTGTACACACAAGGAATACAAGTAACGAAAGGTTTTTCTCTCCAGCGAATCCTGCTCAGGTCATTCCATAAAGAGGTTAAAAAGCATCTTAGAAGAGAGAAACTTTAAGATCACCTGTGAAGACAATTACAGGTAATGACCTGCTCTTATTGGTAACAACTTGTTGAAATTAATATTGCATCTCCCTCTTAATATAGGTTTACAGCAAGCTTAGAGCAGATTCCCCTCTTACTGCCATCATATCCCCCTGGTGTGGTTGTGTGCTTCTCAGGGGCTTCGACTCATGCTGCGGACCTTGTGTTGTCAGGGTCTGGGTCTTGCCAACTTGTTAAAATTAATATTGCATCTCCCTCTTGACTTAATATAGGTTTACAGCAAGCTTAGAGCAGATTCCCCTCTTACTGCCATCATATCCCCCTGGTGTGGTTGTGTGCTTCTCAGGGGCTTCGACTCATGCTGCGGACCTTGTGTTGTCAGGGTCTGGGTCTTGCTCTCTGTCCTGCACTTGACATGTTCAATCACCTTCAGGGAAGAAGCAATCCAGCCTCTTTCAAAGGATTTTCATCTGACCAGGCCTTTACCTACAATATCCAGAACCAAACAGGCAGCTTTTCTCCCTCTTGCACGTAGATAATGCAGTATGTCAAGGATGGTCCTTACTTCCTTCACTACAGTTTAAGTTTACTTTCTGTCCAGCTACATTGTCAGAGAGTGAGGCATGAGACATGATAAGCATTATTAATTACTATAATTCATCATTGTCAGCAGAGAAAAATAGGAGGCTGGGAAATAGCAGCCCAAGTTCTGCCTTGCCTGAAATCTCTGTAGGCCTACTGAGAAGATACAAAAGCCTTTATCCATCTGTGTGAGTTCAAAGACCTTCACACAAAGCAAAAGTGTTCTTTAGTGACCTGAGAAAAGCAGCAAAGGTTCCATATTGCTCATATCTTATCTATCAGGAACAGCTTTTCAGAATGAAGAACTTGTCTAAGAACATTTCCAAAGTAAACAAACATTTCTATAAACTACTGAGTTCATGACATTAGTTTTAAATAAAGAAAAGTTGGTCTGCAAAGGAGGAAAGTGCCTTATCGTGTGATAGGGCTTTGGTCCTGGAGGTAGAGTAATATTTTTCTGTTTAGGTGTTGCTGAACCTGATCAGTGGGTGCTCTGCACATTGTGAAAAAATTAACACCGGTCTGGTGTATAAATCTGCCAAATTGTGATTCTCGTGTACTTGCTTTCTCTTTGGGTAAATGCAGCCTTTAACCGATGCCCCCAGGACCTGTAAGTAGGTATGGATTATTTCAATGTATGAGGAAATAAGCCAAGGGGCCAGGGAGGAAGGTGGAAATATGTAGTACCTTAGATCCCTTGTAACTCAACACAAGGCGACGCCTGTAACACATCATGAAGAGTTGTTGACACACTCGTCACTGTGGCTCACAACTCACTTCTTAGGATAGAATAACAAGTAAAGCTTTTTGTGAGAACTTAACTAACACACAAATAAACAACAACATAGAGCAACATGGACAATTACTTTTACTATTTTCTACACAGAGCAATCACAAAATAAGAAATTTACACATGCAGTCAAACTGCAGGAGAGACTATGTAAGTTATCTTCACTCTCTTGAATTGCAAACAGAACCGTGTGAGTCCGTATCAGCTGAGCATCTGGCTTTTCATGTGTGTAGCAATTGATGCTGATCATTTTCTCCTGCTTTTATCCATGTCATCAGTGTCTTCCAGAAGTAACTCAAAAAATAGATTGACTGGATGTACTTCTAGCAAAAAATCTAATAATATCTGATATTGTTAGCAATAGCTTTACATTGTTGCAGTAGGGATTACCATTGAGTAAGGAAGATGACGCACTTCCAGCATAGCAGCAACAGGGTCGCGGAAAATCTCTGTTCCTTATTCGAAGAGGGGGGGAACACATTACCAGAAAATAAGGAAAAGGCTGAGGTACTTAATACCTTCTTTGCCTCAGTCTTTAACAAGAAGACTGGATGTCCTCAGGGCAACTGGGCTTCTGAGTTGGTAGACAGGGATGGGGAGCAGAAGACCCCTCCTGTAATCCAGGGGGAAGTAGTTAGTGACCTGCTGTGCCAGTTAGTTCCCAACAAGTCCATGGGTCCAGATGGGATTCATCCGAGCGTGCTGAGAGAGCTGGTGGAAGAACTGGCTAAGCCACTCTCTATCATTTATCACTGATCGTGTCTAACTGGGGAGGTCCCAGATGACTGGAGGCTGGCCAACGTGACGCCCATCCATAAGAAGGGCCAGAAGGAGGACCTGGGAAACTATAGGCCTGTCAGCCTGACCTCAGTGACTAGCAAGGTAATGGACCAGATCATCCTGAGTGCCATCAAGCGGCATGTAGCAGATAACCAGGGGATCAGGCCCAGCCAACATGGGTTTAGGAAAGGAAGGTCCTGCCTGACCAACTTCATCTCCTTCTATGACTAGGTGACCCACCTAGTGGATGAGGGGAAGGCTGCCGGTGTGGTCTACCTCGATTTCAGCAAAGCCTTT